AATGAAACATCAGGGAGCGACCCCTACACATCATTACACGGCATGAAGCGGGAAATAGACTTGACGAAGTTACTTGCCAATACTGTAGTTGCAATAAGCATATGACATCACACGCTTCACACCCTCATGCCAAGAGTGTGCAAGGGTGATTACTGACTACTCAGGCTGTGACGAAGTTAATATTCCGACATAGTCAATATTCATACTCTTGCTCACGACCGTGCAGAAAGGCAAGTGTCCTGTGAAAAGTCCGTATAACTAGTGATCGTTTACTGTTGTTATTATTAAAAAATCTAAATATGAATACTATATTCATCGAACTTATTCACCCATTAAACAGCAAACAGTAGGTTTTTTAGTAGCTTTGGGCTATACTTATCAAATTACGTAAACAATAAGCACGACAAATAATTAAAATAGTGAGCAGTTGCAAGCAAGAGGTGGTCGTAGGGTAATGCCTTGTGGAACACCATTACTGATTTTATTATTCCGATGTATACAACTTTTATGATTACTGTAAACTGTAGGCCTACAGGCTATTCAACAAGTCAGTTTTACCACAGCCACCTGTGGTTTGACTCATACAATACAATACAATAGTTACAAATTATAAACAATGGCTTAAGCTGTATTAATAAATCCGTAGTCACCCTTGATAAATATTTAAAATAGTTAATAAAAGAGTTTCAAGAGACTAAAGTGGTTGAAGGGTGATGTCTTGTGGGACACCATTACTGATTATACCCTTCCTATATCTACACTTTAACAATAAACCCCAAACTATGTTAGTGTGACTAAGACCAAAGAGAATATTTATCTACCCATAGTAAAAAAGTAGCATATAAGCTACCAGCCTATATAAAATTCTTTATTAACGATAAATTTGAGTTTTGAGTGGAGTAAAAAAATGGTCCCAGAGTAGAGTCTTGTTGAAAAGCCATTACTGATTTACCCTTCATGCATTTAAAATTTGAATATTATACTAAGTGTGTAAAACGTATATCAGTAGAACATTTATTGACGTGTGAAAGCTATATACGTGATTTATTGCAAACCCATTTACGTTACGCACGATAAATAATTATGATCGTATGAAACAAAAGTGGTCCCAGAGTGGAGCCTTGTGGAGCTCCATTACCAATGCGACAGCGCCTTACCTGGCTTGTCTCACTGGGCTAGTTGCCCACTGTAGAGTGTAGATATCCTGGGAACTGAGGGAGTGGTCACAGTCTGTTAGCATGAATTAGAAACTTCCTCTCTATACTTTGTAGAGTTTTGTGTAAAAGGAAAATACGTATTTACCAAGTATTGTACTGTATGTACAAAGAATTGATTGTATATTCTTGATTTTGGCATTCACTGAAATATTGGGCTCATGAAATTGCCTTTGCTTTCTCACATTTTGTGGATATACAGAATATAGTGATGGATACGGGTGTTTTGTCTTGCTATGATCTTCATCGCATTAACTATTTTTGCTGTATTGATAGTATTTTTAAAATCTAGGGAAATGCTTATGTTTATCTTAGTAAGCACTCAAGACAACTTATTTTTTAAATGTGCCATTGTATTTATCACTTTTAAAGTATGTACACACAATACAATAAGTAAAAATATGGTTCATTTAATTGTACGTACCCATCAATATTTTTTTAAATTGCGGAAAGTAAATTGAAGAAAGGTAGAGATACCAATGTACCAATGGTAATTATCAATGGTAATTCTTTTCTTTAGTTAAGGTGGACAACCTCTTTCAAAACAATGGCTGTCGTTTTGTCCAACAGCCAATAGTTTTCTTTCTTTTTATCAAATACACGAAGTTTCTCAACTGCTTTCACATAAAATATGTCCAGTGGGCATCGACATGCCACCCAGCGCATCTAAACAAAACAGTTAACCCACACGGCCTCTAGCCTCTACGTGTAGGCACACAAATGACTGGTTTACATACTGAATTGGACAGCTGTACTTGTTTTTCTGCCAAGGCAGTGTTTCACAACATCTGTTAAGCAAGGACACCGTCGACGTGACGGATCGTCCCAGGTTTTGGGTCCATTGAATAAGACAAACTATTTTTTAAGTGGATGAACAACTATTTGCTACAGAAGCTACATTCCTTTTGATGAGTTTATACTTTTTTTACCCAATTTGATATATTTCCCTGAATATTTTCTTTTAAATACGCATACATTGGCGGTTTCTGCCAGTATATTTAAACTCCTTGGATCTATGATTGAAATAATTGTTGTCATTCTGACCGAGAATTAAGTTGAAACCCAACGGCATTTAGTTTGATTCAATGTTTTAATATTTCTTTGTTTAAGAAGTATTTGTACAGTGTATGTGTAACTTACAGCCAGGTGGCCGTGACCTATGTAAATTAGCAACTTGTTTTGTAAAGGATTTTAATTTAAATGCTACTCTGTTTACTTCTTGGTATATTGTTTGGGAACTATTTAAAAATATCTATCGAACAATGCATTGTATGACGTTTACAAGAACTTCCAAATAATTGACCAATAAATGGTGTAATATAGTTAACCTTTTTCACTGTGCCTTGTGCTCCATCTTTGTAGTCCACAAACCTTCTTGGCCTAAAGCTCTCCAAGTGCAGGAAAAAAAGATAAGAAAAATTATACTAACTTTTCACATTTTAATCATACATTTCACAATGAAGTGAAACCTATATCACTTCGTCACTACAAATATTCCACTTTCTCATGTCGTTATATCAGTCATACCTTTGAAAGTGAGTGAGGGAGGCGTTAACTACCCGTCACTCTTCATCACTTGCCCCAATCAGAGTCCAAGTGATAATCACTTCACCTCGGTCACTTCACTTCATTTGTTCTAATTCCATTCCCACATCCTCTTTGACACTTATACATGTCAATCTTTGTTTAGTCCTTGTCCCCTACTTCTCTTGTGATTGTTTTTTGATTACATAACATGTGTTAACTGTCTTCTTTCGAGTTCTATCTTACTTAGTAAAACTCCATGTTGTTTGTTTGATTTTTGTTATTAAAACATACATGAATATGAAGTGTACAATCAGGTTTTTGTCACAAGATCATACAACGCTTCTGATAAAACTCGCACAGTATATTGTACGAATATGAATTTTAATTTGCCATGTCCCTAATGAGATCGAAGCAAAATTATTAGCATGAAGAGTTCTACCAGTGGTATCTTTATACAATTAAATTAAATGGTAAAAGTAGAACCGCTGGTGAAATGTTTTTAATATTGATACAAAATATTGGAAAGTCTATTTAAATCGTTATCGGATCATTATGTAAACACTCAGTTTAACATTTTTTGCTTATATTGTTTGGCAATTGAGTGTAAGATTAGCAAATTGTTTAATACAGTATGCACATCTTTACCAGTTTGTATTTAATATAACCTATTTTTTATCTTAAGTGCATTCCGCATCAATAACTGTATTATTTAAAATATCTTGAAAATACCTAATAAAAAATTCCGATATTACTGTGTATTGTTTTCAATGAGAATGAAAAACTTCACCAATAACGTATTGCACTGTACTATATTTAGGTGACAATATAATTTTTAATCGCAGTGCAATATCGCAGTTCCTAGCAAGTAGGCCTACATAACCTTTCAAGACATAAAATACGTCTCACAGTTTACCCCCCCTAGGTGATAATAACGTAATAACCCATAGATTTCCAACAGCTCCACGCGTACAAGTTAAACAAACCTATAAAACGCTTTTAGACACAAACAAGCCGATTTATTTGTTTACTTAGCGTTTTACTACGGAAGCCCTACAGGAAGGTATAGTCCAATAACAAACCTGCATTGTCTCTAATGCTACTTGGCAAGTTGCAAGTCTGCATTGATTCTACACTCGTTACCAACTATTCCCTCCCCCCGTTCCACATCAGCATCAGACTCTTTTCATCTTGGGCAGGTGAATTGAAATTCGCCCTGAATGGTTGCCATTATCAATTAAGCTCTGTAAGGAGCCGGCGTTTTATCTGGTTTTACTTTTAATTGCGACTCGAATTTTGTGAAAGCTCTTGCTTTACTTAAAGCCTATTTGACTGAATTGATTTCTTGATATCGGGAATCAATTCGTACGCATTTGAAGATTTTTAATCATGATTTTCGAGACAGTGGATGTACTCGAATAACTTGGTTTATGTGTAAAAAAAAATGATTTTAAAGTTGATAGTGTAATTTTGAAAACTACGGATTATTATTTAGTAGTCTGTTTACTTTAGAAGGATATTACATATTTATCTTTGACAACATTAAAATTCAGTTGGCTATATGACTCATATTGGTGTATAAAAATGTGTTTAACACGTTTTTTGCGTATTATTTATGCTTGATGGGAAAACAAGTTCAGTAATTATTTGGAGATGTATTGAGCCAATATTGTACTACAGCTTGATATGAATGATACATGTCCTATTGAAACGTAATTACAGGAAAGCTAATGAGATTGTACATTAATTACGAAAGTTAACCAATCATACGTTTACGTCATGATTTGTCGGTGGTGGATCCCATTTAATTCACAACCTAACCTTTTTGTTTCAAATGGTAATCTTAACTTGTACAATACATAATGTTTATTCGAATATCTGAAAAGCTCTATAGGCTACCTACCGTTCATTAGAATATCCGGAACCCAAGTTGAGTCTGCTCTAAGATAATTCATCACCGTAACACAGCATATCCAATGTTCCTTAATTTCCTCCATGTGTAACTATAATTAGCCTCACACTCATCACTTGACACTCACTTCATCACTCAGTAAAAAGCCGTGACAAATAAATCACCAGCGGCTACAAAACACACATCCCAGGTCTGTAAATCTTGCGGCAAGTGGGCGGTGACGTACATCATTGCGCCAACGACGCTGCCACGGAGAGGCGTTCGCACTTTCATTAAATTTAATTAATGCACGGCCCACGTTGAACTGCGACCTCTATCAATTCTGTACTGATCGTCCTCGTTTGTTACAGGATGTCGAAGATGCTGTAGAAGATTGAGACCACGATGATCTTCGTTGTCTTCGCCGTCTTCGCTCTCTTCGCGTCGAAGGCTTCGGCGGATTTGACTCCTGTCGTGGTAGCTTCTTCGCCCAACGGAGTCGCGTCGGCTTCTGCCCCCAACTCGAGATGCGAGGAGATAACCATCCCCATGTGTCGGGGGATAGGGTACAACATGACTTCAATGCCCAACGAGTTGAATCACGATACTCAAGAAGAAGCCGGGCTAGAAGTGCACCAGTTTTGGCCCTTGGTGGAGATCAGATGCTCGCCGGACTTGAAGTTTTTCCTGTGTTCGATGTACGCGCCCATCTGTATCGAGGACTACCACAAGCCCCTGCCCGCTTGTAGGAGTGTTTGTATCAGAGCGAGAGACGGCTGTGCCCCTCTCATGCAGCAGTACGGGTTTCAATGGCCCGAAAGAATGGCTTGTGAAAAGCTGCCTGTGCACAACAGTGACCCGGACAATTTGTGTATGGAGCAGAACAACAGAACTGACATGACTCAGTACTCTGCCGTGACTCCACCTACAAAGCCCACCAAGAAACCTACGAGTGTTACATCGCGCTGTAAACCCGGTAAAAATGGAAAGTGCAGAGAGCCAAATTCTCTCTACCCCATTGGAGACTTTACTCACCCCAGTGGAAAAGATTGTGCGTGCAGATGTCGTCCTCCACTCATCACAATCGAGCGGGAAAACTTCCTCTACAACAGGAGTATATCCGTCGCCGGCGTAGACAACTGCGGTTTTCCATGTAGAGGCGTTTTCTTCACCCAAGAAGAAAAGGAGTTCGCGACTATTTGGATTACGTTGTGGTCCGGACTGTGTGCGGTTTCTACTTTGATGACACTTACTACGTTTCTGATTGACACGGAGCGCTTCAAGTATCCAGAGAGACCAATAGTTTTCTTGTCTGCCTGCTACTTCATGGTCAGCGTCGGTTACCTCATCAGAGTCGCGTTAGGACACGAGGAAGTTGCTTGTGAAGGAAGGATGATTAGGTACAGTGCTTCAGGACCGATACCTTGTACACTGGTCTTCCTCCTCATTTACTATTTCGGAATGGCATCCTCCATATGGTGGGTAGTGTTGTCTTTCACTTGGTTCTTGGCCGCCGGATTAAAGTGGGGGAACGAAGCTATCGCCGGGTACGCTCAATATTTTCATCTAGCAGCCTGGTTGATTCCCACAGTAAAGTCAGTCGGGGTGTTAGTGATGGCTGCAGTCGACGGAGATCCAGTAGCAGGGATCTGTTACGTTGGTAACCAAAACGCTGAAAATCTACGTATATTCGTACTTGTTCCACTTCTCGTCTATCTGCTTCTCGGAACCTCATTTCTTCTCGGAGGATTCGTCTCGCTCTTCAGGATCCGCAGTGTAATCAAACAGCAAGGAGGGATTGGAGGACGCAGCAAAGCCGACAAACTAGAGAAGTTAATGATCAGAATTGGAATATTCAGTGTACTCTACACTCTCCCTGCGACAACAGTTATTGGCTGCCATTTCTACGAGTCTACTCTATACACAGACTGGATGACACCCCTCGTGTGTCCTTGCAATGAAACTGTCCACCATAGAACCCGCTTCCGTCCCCTCTACACGGTCCTGATGCTCAAGTACTTCATGGCGTTGGCTGTCGGGATCACCTCTGGAGTGTGGATCTGGTCGGGGAAGACCCTCGGCTCGTGGAGTAGACTCTGGAGGAGGCTGTTTGGTGGTGGCCACGGCCACGGCCAGGTCCTCATCAACCCTGGAAAGCAGAGGGTGATGAAGCAGCAGTATCTAGTCCCTGTAGTTCCCGCTCCCAGCAGCACCCTACTGTCAGCGCCTCACGTGGCTCCTGGCAGCATCCCCACGTCGGGCAGTCTTCACCACCACATGATCAAACAGGCCCAGCAAGCGCCGCTCACCCACGTATGACAGAAAGCGCACTCCGAGACTCCTGACTCGGCGCCTGCTCTCAGCAACTACGGACCCATATAGCTATGGGCCGGACAGGTCACTAGGTTGTAAGTACGTACTTTAGTGCTGCTCTCGTTTTAGATTGGATAACAGACATGACTCTGTTGTGAGGTATCAGGGAAGTTTTCTTATCTTTATTTCACTTTGAATTATAAGTAATACCAATATAAGATGTTTGCAAAAGGTTTCACGTAATGTACCATATCTTAATTTTCAGTGTACTAAATGTGGTACCACCCAAGCTTTAGATATTTAATTCAGTGATGTAAAACTATTTAACACAAGTTCATTTTAGGCCAATGAATGTTCTCATCAGGCATAATATAGCGTTAAATTAGTTTCAATACTTGTGAAGGTAACATTTTTTTTGCAATTGAATTGTAGACTAAGATAAACGACTATGAAATGTCAAATACCCCGCACAAAACTATCCTTCATCCAATTACGATTGCATAATCTATTTAACAAAATTCGTGGTATGAGCTATTTATGGAAGACATCTTTCCACTACAGCCATAGTTTTCTATCCCTCGCATGACTGGGAATGACCGTGACTGGCACGAGAAATACAAACACGTCGAGTGCGTGAGGCAGAGAGCAGAGAGATTGTGAAGAGCTCTTCGACTGACCTCACAATGCGAGACCCGCCTCTTATCACGACCTTGTTGATTGTAACCAGTTTGTCAGTCTCGCTAGTCATCCACAACCCACCTGGACAAACACTTGACGTTGCTTTCTGAAAGCGCAGCTGTCAAACGTGGGTCGCTGGTTTTCAGAATTGTAGGACATTTGAATGAGGGATGGCGGTTTGTACGATTAATGTTTACATTTCAACTTTGTTCCGAAAGTGTTAAAGAACATTTTGAAAATCACTGCTAAACGTTATTTGCTATCGTTTGAGTATTTGAAATACAACCAAGTGGAATCTTTGAATTTCAATATGAAGCACTTGTGTCAATTTAAACCGTTTAAGTCACATCACATTCTTTAATAAAAAAATGCATTTTATAGTTAATCACCTGATTTTAAAAGATGTGAAGAATTAACCAGCTTGGTTAGTGAAACCTAACAGTCTTGATGTTGAAAATTTTTACGGCCATAAACACATTACAAGTAGTCTTTATCTCGAATCTTCTTTAACTCCAAGTAACACAGAAGTTTGATAGTACAGCTTTACAGTTAGATATACTGTATTTTAAATACGTAGAAAACGGAAAGCTGTATTTAAAATTTGGATCTGAATACAAATTATGAATTTTCCGTGGTAGCATTTGCAAAGTCACAACCGAGGGCAAAGTAACCTAGAGTAACTCTATCCCCATATGCCAAGTACAAGCTTCATCCGAATCCAATTGAAAAGATTATTGAATTCGCTTTCACCGTGACCTGCACCCGGTTGACAAATTTGCGCATAAACTCGACAAATTCCCTCCAAAACTCGACAATCCGATTGGCTGCGGCTAATAAGCGTTGTCGCAGTGGAATGCAATTACCGTGGATCATCCGCATATTGATCTGCTAGCGTGCTTCCCTCTCGTCCTCTGGTAATTTACGAGGGTTTCAGCCTCTCGCATTAATATTAACCTTCGATGCCTTTAGTTCGCATCGGGCAGATCTCCTTTGGGAATTTATGTTTTTTTGCGAAGGATCCTTCATTAATGCCACTGTTTTACGATGTATTCAACTTCAGTTTTCTAGGTAGGGCCTTCGTCATTTAGAGATGGACTTCACTAATTTGAATAGCATGCGAACGTAGTTTTTTTAACGTACCTTTAGACAGTGGTGTGGTTCATATCCTTCTGTTTTTAAAGTAAGTAATACTCACTGCTTCATAGTTTTCAACATTCCCCTGTTGGTAAGGACTCACGATCGTATGTCCCCAATCCCCAATGTTAAATATGTAGGAATTGCTATTGTTTGTAGAACTACAATCAATAACCCTCTACTCATTACTCTTTACCACTCGACGATTTGATCGCGAAACCCTTTTTGATAAAACTGGGGCGAACGAAATAGGTCGGTAATCCACAATTTCCTTTGCAGCGACGGGAGCAAACGCGGATCTGAAATCAAATAACGCAGTATGGAGGACTGATTTCATTTCACGTTCGCAACGCTCGTTCGGATTGCGCAAACTTCTACAAATTACTCTCTGTTTATTGAATTCCCTTTCTTTGACTGTACGCAACAGTAATTCACTTGCAAATCGTCTTTTTAACCTTTGTACCACTCTGTGTTTGACTTTGCAGACGCTTTTGAAACCTTTCGTCTGCCACTTGGTTTTATTTGCACTCAAACAATATTGTTTAACAAGATCTTATCGTATTTGATATTTAACGTTTTTGGTTGAGCGGTTGTTAAAAGTAGAACTTAATTGGAATGTATCTGAGTTTGGTTTGTTTTTACGTTATATACGTGGTATTATGTTGCAATCAGACACTATGATGCTATAAAATCATTGTTTTAATGTTTAAAATCAATTCAAACTTGCTTCAAGATAATAACAAATACACACAATTTATTCAACCATCTATAAATACTGATTGCCTCATACCCCGGCCATGCGAGGGATTTCAGTAAGCTGTGATTGAAAATAAATTATAAAAAGGCAATCAGTCCGTCCGATGACCACCAGTATCATTGTAAAACAATCCATCATTTATCTGGGATTAATTCGTGTTCGGATGATACCTACAGGTGGTTTATCTTGTTTGTTTTTCATAGTATGACATTACTTATTATTTTTTAATAAGGTTTTGATTAATTTCAAGTGCTTGTTTATTATTAAGTAGTAGTTTGTTGATTAGGCTTACACGAGAGCAGCAAATATTAAAGTATGAATTACACTGAACTCAAGCAATACTGAAAATCAGTCTACCATAAGGGTAGACGTTTTCGTTTATTCGTAGAAGACTATTTTTTAATGTGAACCGATATACGTAACAAAGTGATGCACAATGTGTGGACTTATTTTGTAGGTAAGCTTTACAGAAGGAATTACTGCCAGCAGTGAAACAATAATTTATACCTTTATTGTAAATATGTATAGTCTGTAAATATGTGTATTTATATTAATGTACAGAGTGTATATGTTTGTATCTAAGCTTACTGTCGCGTACGGCTAAGTTATCGTAATATATGTCGTTTAGAGTTAGAAGAGAGAGGAGTACCCCAGGTTGAACTTTTAGGACTACTTTTCTTTAGATGGTTTATTAGCGAATTTCCCTATAGGGAAGTAGCTATTACCGTAGGTCTCATGGTAAGACTTAGGCCCGGGACCGATTTACTTTTTCATTTTGATGTCCCCAGAGGACAAAAACACCATTCGTTCAAATTTTTATATATGTATATATATATATATATAGATACTAGCTGTGTACCCGTTCTACGCACGGGGATCTTATAATATTCAGTTGAAACCTTCTTATATAACGAACAGCAGTTGGTTTGCATATTTTAAGATATGCTGGCCAAACTATTATACATAGCTTCATTTTATGTTGTTTTTTGTTGTTCCGGATCGGTATGACAATCAATAAAAGGTTAAATTACCTCTGTGTCTGCCGGTCGATCCTATAACGGTAGGCTTACTTTTATTTTTACTATCTGATCTCGTTTGCATGGCTCAATCACGTCCTGGTTGAAGTTCGTTCGCTACGCTCACTCACCTGTATGTTGGAGCTCGTTCGCTGCGCTCACTTTCCTTCAGGTTAGCTCGTTCGCTACGCTCACTTGCCTTCAGGTTAGCTCGTTCGCTACGCTCACTCGCCTCCAGGTTGCAAATTAGCTGTTGTCATAAATGTAAAAGAAATAATAGTGCTAGTGCTGCACCCTGTTGGTAATCCTTGTAACTTTAATGCTATTGAACATCACAGAACAGAACCAACTTGTTTAATTGAAACAGCTGTTAAGATTCAATAATTTCATTTCTCATAAGGTTAACATGGGCTTCCAGAAATTCCACGTCAAAAATCGACAAAAACTTGATTTTCAAGGGTTTACTGTTAAATATCTAACTGTCTCATATTCGATGAAATACGTCTAAAACCATCTCATATATGTATAGTATTTGGAAAATAAGTTTCAGGCGGGACAGTGCTATAGTTATTGAGGAGTAGTTGTAATAAAGTGCGTATTTTAGCGTTACCAAGAGAATGACAGATAGACAGACAGACAGACAGACAGACAGACAGACAGAAATTGAGATAAGGTTTGATTCGGTTTCTCTGACCTATGAAATGTAAAAATAACCAAAAAGTTCATTATTCTAAGCAATGTACAGACAAAACTCTAATTTTATTTATATAGATATATATATATATATATAGATTTATATATATATGTGTCCGTGAACACGATAACTTGAGTAATTTTTATCCGATTTTGATGAAATTTGGTTTGAAGGTGTAAGGCGGGATAAACTTGAATGAGTTCGCGATCCAGCATGATCGGACCATGGGAACAGGGTTTTATGGGGGGTTTTATGGGGTAAAAATTGGTTTTTCTCACTTTTTACCCTCAAAACACAAAATTTCCCAATTTTTCTCTAAACGTTCTTAAAGAGCTTAAAAAAACAAACAATTCGGTATATCAAAGTGTTTTTGTACAGTTATTAGTTACGGAGAAAACTAAAAAAATTGTAAATTTAAAATTCCCATGTTATTCTTATGGAGAATATTGTAAAATGTTGTAGTTTGCTTGTTTATGGATATCTTTTGATCAAACTTGGCAAATATATTCATTTTCTACTAAGCAATAATTATTTTACTTAAAACACACACTTTATTAGTTTCCTTGTAGCAGCAAACCTAGGTACTCGTTAAACCTAATGTTATTTAAATAGATGGATTGAAAATTAATTCAGCCAAATGGAAATTCGCTTAGACGGCAGGTTTGCTGCGGCGGGGGTATTTTTTTTTTTCAATTGTTATGCATACACACGCATAAGGCTTCTATGGAGAATGGGACTTGTACATCAGAAGATGTGTGTTTTTAAATTAGCTCCAAAATGGTTTTCCTATTTTGCCCTCTTAGTACACATGGCGTTATATCAAAAACTATTGTCCTCGAAGGAACACTTTGGGGAAGTTTTTTATAACTACCTTTTAATTCGGACTACTTAGCTAGAACCATTTTTATTCACATCACACTTCCAACAGCCCTTAGGTACGTAAAGATTCGAATCAGTCACAACTCGAGAAACATTTTTACCTTTCCTGTTTGTTTCGTATCTTTAAAGGAATCGGAGGAGTCTGGGCGCGATCGTCACCGGAGTTGTCGGGATAAATGACGACGCAATATCGCCCCCGACCCAAAAAAGAGTGCCCTCGGTTTATAAATCTCCCCCAGTCCCGTATTCCGAGGAGTATTGCGAGATAGGGCGTAAATAACGGTGGCTATCGCAGTGATCTATGAGCAACCCCGGGCGAGGGTGGGCCAGCGCGTCGGAGTAACGAAACCCTGACAAATTGCGAACCACCGATCCTCTTTCGGATATTTATCATCGGTACTTTTTCGGTAAATCGAAATTACACCGCTATATTTCCTGATCAAACCCTTTCGCCTTTGGGATTCGTCCTGAGGGAATTTGCGTTTTGGGGAATTGGGGAGTTGGTCCATTACACTCTCTTTTACGATTCACATACTTGAAATAGGATCAAGTTAAGTGAGGCTTTATGAATTCAGTTGTCCTTACTTTACCACAAATTTACCATTCCTTTTTGGGGAATAGAGTATGGGGCTTTGTTCATCGTGGTCCCGGGTTCAAAACCCACTGTTAACTATACTCAGATCTGCAGTACCAATAGTCTCTAAATTTGCCTATAATTACTATTAGTCAACATGTAAAAACTGGTGGTATGTTGAGAACAATGTTGGTATGTAATTAAGAGAAAACCTGGCGTAATAGAAATCGTCCTAACCTTAAACACAATCAAATTTTCTGGTTAAACCATCGCCAAAAACTTAACTACTTCAGCAGAAATTACAAAATAAACATAATCCTCCAACAACCTTTTGTTTAAAATAGCCAGTTATAAAACTACTAGAATAAATCAACTTCAACTCAGTAATCGACTCGAACTCGTAAACGTTAGACGATCCCAAACAAACAGACAATTGCAGCGCAAACAAAGCTTACTGCAGAACGTGGATACGCGAACGTTTCAGGGCCTCATTTAATGCTGCAGGATCGGCAAACAACGCAGAATAAACAGTCCATTGTTTTCAGTGGGCGCGATAAGTTTCGGAGGCTGCGCCTTGTCAAAACATCGCATGTTTGCGAAGCGGTTTGCAATTCTGTATGTGCGAACAGCTGTCTGGCGGGAATCCCATTTCCCGGGAATTTCCCAAAGTAGATAGTTTCCCTGGGTAATCGTTTAACTGGAAATGTCATCGTTGATTCCACTCCTAGGTCCCCAATTAATGTTCAAACTTTTATTTTAACTGAAATATCACTCTCCATTTTTACGGTATTTCTTCGTCGAATTGAATGATTATCAAACTCTATGTTTAACGAACATGTGATTTGTAAGTAACGTTATTTATAAATTACGTATATTTTGCAACAGTGGGGTTACATAAAATTGTCTTTCAGGAAAATAAAAAAAGGTTAGGTCTTGTTAGTATCTTATTTCTACATGTCAATAGAAATCAAGATTTAATAATAACCTAAACAAATATTAAATAGGACCACAATCAACCTTTATCGGTACTAACAATCGTGCAACATAAATTCAAGGTCTTAACAGGATTTTTCAAAGTTATTTTACTAGCCCTAAATTCAAATGATGACCACTCTCATCAACACAATAATATTCCTGTAACCAAAATACAAATATATACAAAGTCACAACTAAAATAAACACACGTTTCCAAATCATAGGACATAAACACACCTCTGAATGCCAAAGAGACAACGAGGAGTTGTCCAAGTGAGGGACTTGATCCATCTGACAGCGCCACTTTACGACTGGACGGAGATTGCGTTGGTTTATTGCAACAATTTTATTATAATACGTCCACGCCGCTCCAGTTTTCACCATTGCATAGCCAAGGTTGGCAGACCTGGTGGCATTTAAATTTTAAATTATCGCTACACTAACAAGGCAGTTTTATGACGAAGGTGTGGTGTGGCCGATTTACATAGTATTTTATGTTTCTGTTAATTATCTGTGGTTTATAACTATAGTGGCCTTTCCATTCTGTGACTATACTTTGCAATAATTCAAGATTTTTGGATGCTCAAAGCATGCCTTCTTTTTCTTTCAGTGGCCATCACATATATAAATTAGCTCCATTTTTGAATCCATTTAATCCCGGGATTTTTTTCCTATCCCAAACTCCCGGATCGAGTTCCCTACTCGCAATCCCCAACAATCGCCCGGCTCGTTCTCCGGTGGTTATTTATGTCGGAGATTTATCAGATGTTTATTATGCGGCCAAACAGGTTTGTTAGCGTGTCCCGGGGCGGTTGCGATGCAACACTTATTTTTTACGAGCTGATGTTTCGATGGCGATTATTTATTTAACAAGTCGCGGCCCCCGAGCTTTCTAAAGCGAGGGAAAATCGGTGAAACGAGGGAAATCTTCGTGGGAAGTAGGGATATAACAGGCTCTTTATTAGTTTTGTCAGATAAAATGCCAAAATTAATCGTTTATCAATATTTACCCAATAGTCGCCAACAATCATCAAATAATCATAAAAGCGTATCGAGTACATTGCATCCACGAATGTAGTAATCCCGTGTAACTAGATACAAGGTGAAACTAGTAGGCCTACTGTATCACACTCCTTCGCAAGATATTGTAATAATCTCAGAGTGTCAAAGTAATCAACCCCCGTGCTCATCACATTACCCATTCTCGCCATTACGAGATGGAAACGGGGTGAAAAGTGGAAAGTCATCAGTGGAATTTTTGAAAAACCTACAGCTGCGATATCGGTCTGTAATTCTTGTATTTAATCTCCTTGCAAGTGCAATCTCTTAGGTGTCGGGCATGACTTTACAATCGTCGCACTTTGAGATGAAGGCACGAACCCTTGTAATGGATCCGGGCTTTTTGAGGGGGCGCGACTCCCTCACTTGACACAATGAGCCCTTCACGCCAAAGGTTTCTTTCATGTTTTCACAAATGAAAATACTGCACTCCGATTACAAAATGACCCCGCTTTACCATATGTCGGTGGTCGTATATCGATAGCCACAATGCACAATGGGTTTTGTCTACCTTTTTTTGTTTGCGCCATTCTCGTTAGTGTATGCTATTGACACTTT